TATATGTGTTGTGTGTGTGATGTGTGTGTTGTGTGTGTGTGTGTGTGTGTGTGCGTGCGTGGCGTGCGTAAGCGTGGCGTGCGTGCGTGGCGTGCGTGCGTGCGTCGTGGCGTGCGTGCGTGTGTGCCTCAGTGATTGACTCTAGTAGCTACCTATGCACGCCGAGCAGTGCAGCAGAATAGTGTATTACTTACGGCTGTTGCGTAAGGACACTATAGTCTGTGTTGATGTGCTGCCGATTAAGAGCACCTGTCTTACGAATGAGGCGTCCCCGCAACGCGAACTGGGGTAACTCACCTGCTTCCCTTGTTTCAGGTCAACCACCTTCGAGACTGCCGGCGAATCGCCATGGCGACAGAGCGAACCAGATGCCGACGCGATACGCCCGATCGACAAGAGTTCACCTGAACTGCGGCATCTGCCTGAGCGCTACCAGACTCCGGTAAAGTCGCTGCGCTGTGCTCCACGGTTCTGCGACGCGCTGCCTCGGCCGAGGTTATCATCCCCCGCAGAGGCCTCCGGCTGAACGTGCCCCATCTGAACAGACAGCAGAGCATCCTTGCCGACGCGGCGTCGCCGCCCTGCAGAACGAACCTTCTTCATCATCCGAACCTGATGGAGGTCTCATGGAGATCGTCGCTAGTGCACGTGCTGCACCGGACGCGGGCCGCGTCGTCGCGCCGACGGTCGCCGACGGCGGCCGCGGCGGAGACTACGAGCTGTCGTACGTCGTCGCTGAGGAGGGCCGCTACCACATGTCCATACGGCTCTACGGACAGCACATCAAGGGATCGCCGTTCAAGATCCGCGCCAAGTCGGAGGACCGCAGCAGCGGGGACCGGCCGTCCAGCTCGAAGATCCCACGCACGGCCGTGCGCCAGAAGGCGACCAAGCGTCCGCCGAGCGCGCGGTCCGGCGGCTCGAACCGCAAGAGCAACCCGATCGAGGACGACCTTGTGCGGCGGAGCGGCGCGAAGGGCCGGAACCGCGGCGAGTTCACGAACCCGCAGGGCGTGTTCTGCACGCCGGGCGGCCGCGTCGTCGTCGCCGACAGCAACAACCAGAACGTGCAGGTGTTCACTGCCGCCGGCGACTTCAAGTTCCGCTTCGGAATCCGCGGACGAAGCCCCGGGCAGCTGCAGCGGCCGACGGGCGTCGCCGTGATGTCGAACGGCAACGTCGTCGTCGCCGACTACGAGAACAAGTGGGTGAGCATCTTCGCGCCCGACGGGAAGTTTGTCTCGAAGATCGGCTCCGGGAAGCTGCTCGGCCCAAAGGGCGTCGCAGTCGACCGCAACAATCACATCATCGTCGTTGACAACAAGGCCAGCTGCGTGTTTGTCTTCCAGCCGAACGGCAAGCTGATACACAAGTTTGGTTGCCGCGGTAACGACGAGCACCAGTTTGCGGGGCCGCACTTCGTCGCCGTGAACGCGAAGAACGACATTGTCATCTCGGACTTCCACAATCACGCCGTGAAGGTGTTCGACTCCGAGGGAGGCTTCCTGTTCTCGTTCGGGTCGAACGGAGAAGGCAACGGGCAGTTCAACGCTCCGACGGGAGTGGCCGTTGACAAGCTGGGAAACATCCTGGTCGCGGACTGGGGTAACAGCCGGATACAGGTAAGATGGAAATCGAATCAATCAATCAAATCAATACACTAAATCATTGGCGATGATGATGATGGTGGTGGTGGCGGTGGTGGTGGTGATGATGATGTGGTGGTGGTAGCAGCGGTTCAAGGATAGAAATGATGTCCAGGACGGTGATTGGATAGGATGATGTTTATTACTGGTTACGGCACTTAGGGCTACGGTGATGGTGCTGTTGCTGTTGCTGTTGCTGCAGATGATAAGTATGATGCTGATGATAATGATGATGATGTCGCATTGATTGATGGTGATGACGATGATTCATTGATTGACGATGATGCCGGCGATTGTCATTGATATCAAAGCTAAGCATAAAGCAACTCACGCTTGTATTTCAGGTATTCGACAGTCAGGGATCGTTTCTCTCCTACATCAATACGACGGGGGACCCACTCTACGGACCGCAGGGTCTAACGGTGACGTCAGACGGCCACGTCGTCGTTGCAGACTCCGGAAACCATTGCTTCAAGATCTACAAGTATCTTCAGTGATCGTGCAGACGATGTGATATGCAGAGGAGAAGCGTAGCTACCGCCACCTGTAGGAGCGCCGGTGAACTATTCCATTACGATCACGGGAAGGATGAAAACGCGAAGTGCGTGCGTGTGCGCGCTGTACCATTCGCGCAATTTCGGCGTTCGATGAAAGTTTGATTTCAACAAACTTGAAAATATTGCATTTGACTAGCGATATTGCACGTTGCATTCGCCCCCCTTGGCGTTGCGCAGTTTCCTTCCTGCGCGTATATAGAGGTGCTCAGCGTGAAATGCTGCCTTTGCGATAGGCGCTGTCGGGAAAAACTTGAAACCCCCACAGCCCGTCTTTCACCAGTCGTGGAATCGTGTTACGCGCTCCGCTTATGCTGTGATAACTCAAACATTCACGGACCAATCTACTAAGCAGGCAAGCTGGAGAGATGATTGAGTGTGTAGAGTCTATATAGAGGCAAGTGCGTGTGTGTATTTTTGCACTAGCCGTGCTTGAGACGCGTGTATTTGTTATGTAATATATTGGGACAGCCGTGTATTTTATGTATATTCACTGCATGCGCATGATAAGTTGAGTATCAGTCGTGAACATTAGTAATATTTAGCACTAGATCTGAGTATGTTAGTATTACGTAGTAAATTATGAGCATTTCTGGATTTTTATATGTACACACGCCGCACGCGTACGAGAGTGTGCGCGGGAGTTCAAAGCACTTTACACGCTGGTGCCTTCTTTTCTGTTAGTTATAAGAGGAACCCATTTTCGTGGGCTATAATTTAACGATAAACAATTATACTTTTTGTAACAACCTTCTCCATAGCTCATCGCTGACGGCAGTGTACTAATCGAACAACGATCTACAGAATGTGTACACAATTCCATAAAATCTGACAGCACGTGACGAGTTACAACACTCGAATATATTACATTACAAATAATGCTGTTAGATACCGTACTGTCTACTGGCGATTGAAAAACAATATAGTTGGCTGAAGAAAGCCGCCTTACCATTTCAGCGTGTTAGATAATTAATTAGACAAACCCGTACAGTCGTGAATTCCGTTTCTCGTGGAAATTCGCAATGGACGCATGAGCGTTAATAACGTTACGACTAAAGGGTTAAAATAGGAATAAAATGGAACAAAATTAGTGAACTTCGTAAACAGACGCATGCATGGCAGCGACTATGCAGGCAATCAACTACAAATGTCAACTAATGACCGTGTTTATAGGCGGGGATTCCTCATCTCCCAATGACGCAAAGCTATACGAGACTATAGTAATAGAGAAATTGCTTTCCCCTTTGTCGCTCGGAATTTTGTACGTGATAGAGCACGCGGGATTAAGTCGATAATCAGTAAGTTTCCACATCAACACACGCCTTTCTCGTTGTTTATGATGGCGAACATGGAATTTGTTGTTGATTGCTAGGTTGTATTTTCTTTACCATTACCCATAATATATATATGAGAAGACATCGTTAAAACAGTAATAAACAAGTCCCGCAGTACCTGATTACCCCAAGTCAAAATCTCTCCCCCCAAATAAAGGCTCACAGTAATAAACATTGATTTATGTACAGTGTAGCCAGTTAATTACTAATTCTGTCTATTAAATCTACTATATTCAGTCCCCATATGAACCATCATGTAAGGCTGTAAGCATAGTCTAAATCCGCACCAATCTCGCTTGAGAGAGCCGTCTGGTGGCGGTTTTCGCAAAATTCTGCTATTGACTATTGAAGGGTAGGAAGTGTAACGTGTACAACGACGACGATCATCCATATTTAATATCGACAAATGATGTTCGATCGTCTCTTGACGATATTAAGCATCGAAAAAAAAATGTGAAAAATAAAAGTACCGTATGGTGAAACATTTAAATTTCATTGATCTAATGTTTTTTATATTTACGAATTATTAATTAATAATCTAATCATGCCCTACGATCAAATGCCGATTCGTAGAAAATGCAGAAGATTAAAACCAAGATCCGAAACCCGGCAATTATACACCAACATAATTTTATTTTGACCATTTTTACAAAATACTGACGACAATCAGAATATCAAAATCTGCAGCAACCAATGTAAATAAAATCCACTCACGACTCCCCTAAGTTCTCTCACTGATCGATTACTATCCCCTAGCGTACATCTAATAATAAAACAGCCACCCTTCACAACAAGGACGCCTTTGCACCAACGACGTCATCACACCTGACGTCAGCACACGGGATGTCATCACGCATGACCTCATCACACTAAACGTCATCATACCCGGACTCTCAGCCCTGGTTCACACACACACGCACGCACGCACGCACACACGCACGCACGCACTCAAACTATAATAAACTCTGCTAAAGGTAAAAGGGGAAAAAAACAACGGCTACGCACAGCAAACAAACAACGGAAGCAAGGCAATGAGGAGACAATGGCGAAGAGAAGACAGCGCAAACCTGATGTCTCGCAGAGAAGAAAGAAGAAGGGAACAAACAACAACGAGTACAGTAATTATGCACATTTCCTCTGTGTAACCTCGCAGCCGCCGTGCCCGAAGCGATGCATCAGACACATCAGCAGGAGAGCACCGTCGGCCCGCGTTCGAAAGCAGAACGCGGTGAGTATTGAACTTTGCAAAGCATCGACTCTATTAACACCGAACTTTGGCAGTGACCCCCCAACAGATAGTAGCCAAGCCTCTCTCCTTGAGAAGTGCGGGCGGCAAGGAGTGGCAGCCCCCTGCTCCCCCAACCCTTCGAACACGCACGAAAGTTCTTCATACTTCAGACATCATAAGCCGTGTGATCGACGGAAGGCAGTGATCATCAAGCGTGGATTGGCGTGGCCACAATGTCTAAATCCCGGAGAATTCCCTCTCGCGGGCAGAAGTGGCATCACCATGACCAAATCCGGAAGAATTCCCTTTCCCGGGCAGAAGCAGCATCACCGTGCCGGCCAAATCCGGGAGAATTCCCTCTCGCGGGCGGGAGTGGCCTCACCGTGCCGGCCAAATCCGAGAGAATCCCCTCCCTGGGCGGAAGTGGCGTGATCGTGACAATAAAATCGGGGAGAAATCCTTCTCCCAGGCGCGACCGCGACGGTACAACTATGGGAGAAATATCTCTCAGAGCATCTCTCTTCCACTAGCGCTGCTACCACTGTCGCCGCAGCCAGTATCTTCAGGCACGCGATGCAGCCGCCTTGTATCGCTGCTGGTGCACTCTCATTGATTGAAGATTAGCAGCAGTGCACCTGGCTGCAGCACCCGGGGGGCGGGAACGGTGGTTTCACGACCCCACCAGCACCTCTCGTCGTCTTCTCTCGAGACATCCGGCAGCAGAAAAGAAACACCTTTGCTCGTTACGCCCCTGCGCACAATTGTCACCGCATATACGGATTATAAGATTTATAAACCCGTGCAAAAATTCCCTTGCCGTTATTTACACACGAAATTCTCTCTCTCGCTCTCTCTCACTCACTCTCTCTCTATCTCCCTCTCACTCACTCACTCTCTCTCTCTCTCTCTCTCTCTCTCTCTCTCTCTCTCTTCGAAATGCCTTCTTGGCTCAAAGGCGCGTGACTCTACCTAGACGTCTACGAAATCTATGAACTATTTACAACAATTAACCCTCTCCCGAGGTAACCTTCCTTTTTACACAATACTTGGTGAAAGGAAACCCAAATCCTCCCCAGTGGATCCCCACATTGTGAGGAGAGAAAAACAGAGACTAGAAGTCTTTTTGTGTACACCCCCTCCTATATCGTCTTACGAAGCGATGTCGACCCTATGTAGGTAGCTTTTAGCCCGTGCATCATCTTTTTGATGCGTTTGCTCGCTTGAAACTATAAACTACGGGCAAATCTAAGTGGCTGCACCCTGCTGCAAGTTACCGCCCCCCCCCCCAACCAATCCTGAGCTCACCGCGTTTACGCTGCGGGCGTACGCTACCGTTTCTACCTACGGCTGCTCGTATTGTTGCCACGACACGCACTCACAGTCTACGCTCCCTTTGTCCCTCGTTCCTGCCGTCCACCGCAAACACTCGGTCATCTTCATGGACGCGTACGCGCACATGTATGCAAACATGCACACGCACGCACGCACGCACGCACGCGCACACACACACGCACACGCAAACAGACACGTAAACTAGCGTTGACTCGCTGTCACAGCGCCATCTGGAAGCGATGCTCGGCACAAACACGCGCGTAAACTAGCGTCGACTCTGTCACAGCGCCACCTGAAGGCGATGCTCGGCACAAACACGCGCGTAAACTAGCGTCGACCCTGTCACAGCGCCACCTGGAAGCGATGCTCGGCACGCGTAGTTCGTCAGCTTCGACGGAGGGGGCGCCACGGTTGTCGGCGAAAAGCTCATTCGGCAGTCGAGCGATTGCGGCGATTTCCTGCCGATAGACTGGCCTTGCGAGAAATACCGGTGGGTTAGGTGGGAGGTGCGCGGCGTTGGTACCCAGTCTACGACTACTGCAGATCGGCTTCACTGCTTCGGTGGCTTCGAGAAGATGGAGGCGGTTGCATCCGGGTGCGCAGCATCCCTGCGCCGCTCGTCGCCACGGCGGCAGTTCCCGTTGCCGGGAGATCGAAGTGTACCCGACGCCCCCTATCCCCGCCGGCCAACGCCCCCCTATGCATGCACACGCAGGCGGGGTCGTTTGATTGTAGACATCTATATGTTCAACGAAAATTTCGTGATCGCGCGCCCTTTCGTCGCTCACGACTCAAGAACACTGGCAGCGACACGTCTCACGGCTGCAAGAGACTGCTTCGCACGATTCCTTCAATTTACTACCACCAGATGGTGCCACTTTACTGTCGTCATTTCACTTCGGCATCAAAGTCCAAGACGAGCAATTTGGTTTCCTCCGTGCCGTTCCGCGATCCGACGGCGCACACTAGTTTAGTTTGGTTGGCCCTGAAAAAATAACGGTAAGCATAACAATTTAAAATTGATGCTTCGTGCACATGCACTAACAATTAAAAATAAGAAATGGGGATTAGGAAATATAATAGATTTTGCGGTGTGATATAAAACTTTGTAGAGGAAACGTCTTCCACTCTCGTCTATCAGGCAGGAGGCAGACCAGTTCAGCATGCTCCCTTACCTCAAGGCTTTACCCAAAATCAAAACAGCAGTGACCAAGGTGGGATTCGAACCCCGAACCTCCAGCCGTAACTTACAGTAAATCACCGAGCCGCAAAATTCGTGCGTACCGAACATCAGGCCCATGTTTCGTCCTTCACCGCGCTCCACCACCTCGCAAAATAATGGCCGCCGCGAATTCGATTCGCCTAGCTTCGATTCGCCTAGCTTCGACCTGCAGAGGACACGCGCGTGCAGTCCGCACAAATGCAATCCCGATTCTCAGTGCGCACTTCTCACAAGATTTTCGGCGCGTCGTACGGATATCCGCCGACGTGCGACTGGGAAGTGGCATCGTAAAATATAATTTGAATATATATATATATATATTTATATATATATATGCTGTGTAGAAAGAAATGCTACCTTATGTAAACCATGTTTAGCGTATGGCGTCGAGTGGTCTGGTGACGTATTAGCATGTAGGCCGGGCGGCGACGAGAGAGCGTGAGAGAGGGGTGTGGACAAGAGAGCGTGTGAGAGAGAGGTTGCGACAGGACGGAGAGCAGAGATGTACGGTACGTCGAGATAGACGGTCGAGTGAATAAATCGTCGAGCGAACAGACGTCAAGTGGATAGACTGCCGAGTACAAGGAGCGTAGAACGAATCGCCGCGTACAGACACCCGGCGCAGACGAGTCCGGCGCGAAGGTTGTGTCGTCGAGATCTCTTGACAAGCGAACACTCACCGGATGCGCCAGACAACTCCGCCGCTGCCTCCACTGTCCAGCGCCACCAGGTTGCGGATGAACTCGCCCGTCTTCAGGTCCCACAGCTTCACCGTGCCGTCGTCCGACGACGTTATCACAAACTTCGAGTTGAACTGCAGACACGTGACGGCGCTCTGGTGCTTGTGCGGACCTGTGTCGGACACGGAGAACGCGGGTCAAGCACGCAGCTCTTCTTGTCTTCTTCTACTTCTATCTCCCATCTTCTATATTCTATTCTATTCTACTTCTATTCCTGTTCTTATACAGTATACGATCTATTATCCGAAATTCTAAAAACCGAAAAGCACCGAAAACCGAAGGTTTTTTCGTGGAGGTCGTCTGCACACAAAAGCTCGCGTTTGGCTGCACAAGGTTCACTGCAGAAATATTAGTGTGTTTGGTATTACTCATACATATTGTACTGTACCGGTACAGCACTTGGCCTAGATAGTTGCATTGCAGGATATACGCCATGTATATCTGTACTGTACTACCATTCCAAACTGTAAAAAATTCCGAAACGTGTCTGGTCCCAAGGGTTTCAGATAATAGATTGTGTACTGTACTTCTATCTCCTATCTTCTATATTCTATTCTATTCTACTTCTATTCCTCTTCTTATACTATTACTATCATCTTTCGATCGATGCCATTACACATGGTTAGGGTTAGGGTTAGGGTTAGGGTTGTTGTACGCACTATTATTGTACTGTTATTATTAATGTTATGTTAGAATTTCAACATCATCGTAATCATGCACATGAAATGATGACTACGATGACGACTGTGACAATAACAATCACGATTAATGTCTAACCATCACAAAACCTCTGACCACCTCAATCTCGCGTCAGTAGTTGAGCAGACGTTACTGCATAAATATAATTTCCCGGTCGGCCACATGAGAACGAAACCAAAATTCCCTTCGCTCACGTCGTGAAAATCGGCAATCGCAAAATTAAGCGTCATGTGCATTTCCTGCCACTCAAGCAGAAAAAGGCAAACGTACTCCGGCAAAACATCAGAAACCGACCTCCTGCAGCCCCCGCCGGGTCTCACGCACCTGTAAAACATCGGGAACCGCAGAGCCGGGTCTCTCCGCCTTACCTGTGAGCGTCTGCAGACACTGTCCGGTCTCGATGTTCCACACCTTGACTGTCGAGTCGGCGTTACCGGACACAAGCGTGTTGTCCTTCAGCTCCATGCCGCTGGTCAGCGACTGGTGGCCCATCAGCGTGTGCAGGCAGTTTCCCGTCTCCACCTCCCACACCCGGATCGACGTGTCCAGCGAGCCGCTGACCACGTGCACCCCGTCAAACTGAAGCGCAAAGCGAATACGTCGTCGTGAGAGTAAGACGAGCGAATACATTGTCATCACGATACGTTGTGCGATCGAGTTGTAGCGATCGAGTTATTTAACTCGCATTCTTCTCATCCAAATTTGTCAAACCACGAAACTCAAACTGAAGCACGAGCGAATACATTGTTGTCACGATACATTGTCGCGATACATTGTTGTCACGATACATTGTCGCGATACATTGTCGTCACGATACGTTGTCGCGATACATTGTCGCGATACATTGTCGTCACGATACGTTGTCGCGATACATTGTCGCGATACATTGTCGTCACGATACGTTGTCGCGGTACATTGTCGTAAGATTGAGATGAGTGGCAGCGACCGAGTTATTTAACTTACGTTCTCCTCATCTAACTTTGGAGACCATAAACTCATGCCTCCTTTTTTTGGGGGTGCAAAAAACGCTGCCGCGCGGTAGATTGTACATTGTCGTCCAACCGACAAAACATCCGTCCGAGCGGCAACGACCGAGTTATTTAACTCGCCGCTCGCCTCGTCTAACATGGGAAACCAAAAACTCCACGTTCGGCGGTCCCCTCAACTCGCACTTACACCTTCCGCTTTCCACTCCCATTCACCTCTACTGAACGGCCACCCCACCTGCGTACAAAGGACGCTGCTGGCACTTCCACCTTCCACTCTCATTCACCTCCACAGAACGGCCACCCCACCTGCGTACAAAGGACGCTGCTGGAACTTCCACCTTCCACTCTCCACAGAACGGTTACCCCACCTGCGTACAAAGGCCGGCGTACCTGCAGCGAGTAGACGCGGTTGGTGTGTCCCTGCAGCGTGTGCAGGCACTCCTCCGTCTCCGGGTTCCACACCTTCACCGTGTAGTCGTAGGCGCCGCTGACGACGCGCTTGCCGTCGTACTGCACGCAGCGCACGGCCGCGACGTGCCCCATCAGCACGTGCAGGCACTCGCCGGACTCGACGTCCCAGACGCGCAGCGTAGCGTCGCGCGAGCCGCTCACCACCCTGCCGAGACGCGAGAACACGCGCAGACGCCATCGTTATCACTCGCTTTTTCTCTCACCAATACATCAATCAATGATTCACAAGGATTGCATGTCACGATCAGTCAGACAATCCAACCATTCCATTGGTCAATCAATCGACCAATCAATCAATCAATCAACCAATCAATGACTCAGAGATGCAAACACATATTTGAAGCGATCTGTAGTTTCTGGCCATCAAATTAGTAGTGACCCCAGTTTGCTAGGGGGGTCCGGCATGCCCTCCGGAAGATTTTTTGATTCTGAGATGCAATTTCCTGCATTCTGAGGGTCAAAAATGACAATAAATATAAAAAAAATGACAATAATGAACTTGCCTTTTTTTTTTTCGCGACACAGTTAAATTCGTAGTTTGTATACAAGATGGTCGTAGTGGTGGCAAAAGGTAATCAGATAATTCGTAAATAAATATAGCGGGATAAATCCGTAGTGGTTGGCATCTCTGCAGATACAATGAGACCGCAAGACGCACAGACGCCGTCGTAATCACTCCCGTTGTTACTCCCCAAGGGCCACATGCTGTCTGCACATGCTCCTTCCTCTCTCTCTATTGTCGTTTCATTTTCTGCTCTCTCTCTACTTTGTGTCTTATTTTTGCTACTGTGTGTTTCAATTTCTCGCCTCTCTAACTGTGTGTTGTCCATTTCTCCCATCTCTACTGTGTGTTTCATTTCTCCTCTGATAGCTGTGTTCATTTCTCTACTCTCTACTGTGTGTTTCAGTTTCTCTTCTCTCTAACTGTTGTTGTTTCACATTTCTGGCTCTCTGGGCTGCTCTACACTGTGTTTCATTACTCCGCGTCTCTAACTGTGGTGTTTGCATTTCTGGTCGCGCTCTCATACTGTGTGTTTCATTTTCTCGGCCTCTCTACGTGTGTTTCATTTCTTCCCTCTGCTACTGTAGTGTTTCACCATTTCTCCCTCTCCTAACCGGTGTGTTTCATTTCTCTCTCTCTTCGGTCTCTACACTGGGGTGTTGTCATTTCTTCATCTCTCTACTGTGTGTTTCATTTCTCTCTCTCTCCTGTAGTGGTTTCAATTTCTGCCCTCTCTACTGTGTGTTTCATTCTCTCTCATCCTCCTGTAGTGTTTTGCCATGTTCTCCCTCTCTACTTGTGGTGTTTCATTTCTCCGGCTGCTCTACTGTAGTGTTTCAATTTCTCTCTCTCTCTCTCTGTAGTGTTTCAATTTCTTCCTTCTGCTACTGGTGGTGTTTAATTTCTCCTCTCTACCTGTGTGTTTCATTTGGCTCTTTCTCTACTGTGTTTTTAATTTCTGCTCCTCTCGTACTGTAGTGTTTCATTTCTCCCGCTCTCTACTGTGTGTTTAATTTCTCCTCTCTTACTGTGTGTTTCATTTCTCCCTCTCTAACTGCTGTTTCAATTTTCTCTGCTCTCTCTGGTGTGTTTTCATTTCTGCTCTCTCTACTGTGTGTTTGCAGTTTCTCTTCTCTCTCTACACAGTGGTGTTTCATTACTCCCCTCTCATACTGTGTTGTTTCATTTCTCTCTGTCTCTACTGTGTGTTTCATTTCTCGCCTCTCTATAACCGTGTGTTTCATTTCTCCCTCTCTACTGTAGTGTTTCATTTCTCCCTCTCTACTGTGTGTTTCATTTCTCTCTATCTCTCTCTCTACACTGTGTTTCATTTCTCTCTCTCTACTGTGTGTTTCATTTCTCTCTCTCTCCTGTAGTGGTTTCATTTCTCTCTCTCTACTGTGTGTTTCATTTCTCTTTCTCTACTGTGTGTTTCATTTCTCCCTCTCTACTGTAGACAGTAGTGTTTCATTTCTCTCTCTCTACTGTGTTTTTAATTTCTCTCTCTTCTCTCTCTCTACACTGTGTTTCATTTCTCCCTCTTACGTAGTGTTTCATTTCTCCCTCTCTACTGTAGTGTTTCATTTCTCCCTCTCTACTGTAGTTTTTCATTTCTCCCTCTCTACTGTAGACAGTAGTGTTTCATTTCTCTCTCTCTACTGTGTTTTTTAATTTTCTCTCTCTCTCTCTAGATGTGTTTTCATTATCTCCGGACTCTCTACTGTAAGTGTTTCATATTCTCCCTCTCTATTGTAGTGTTTCATTTCTTCTCTCTACTGTGTGTTTCAATTTCTCCGCTCTCTACCGTAGTGTGTCATTTCTCTTTTCTCTTACTGTGTGTTTCAATTTCTCTCTTCTCTACTGTAAGTGTTTCTTTGCTGCTCTCTACTACTGTGTGGTTTCATTTTCTCTTTCTCTAACTGTGTTTTTAATTTCCTCTCTCTCTTTAAGCTGTAGTGTTTCATTTCTCCCTCTCACTTGTGTGTTTCATTTCTCCCTCTTCTACTGCTGTGTTTAATTCTCCCTCTCTACTGTAGTGTTTCATTTCTCCCTCTCTACTGTGTGTTTTCATTTCTCCCTCTCTACTGTAGTGTTTCCATTTTCTCCATCTCTAACTGTAGTGTTTCATTTCTCTCCTCTACTGTGTTTTCTTAATTTCTCTTCTCTCTCTAACATACACTGTGTTTGCATTTCTCCCTGCTCTACTGTATGTGTTTATTTCTCCCTCTCTACTGTAGTGTTTGCATTTCTCCATCTCTACTAGTGTGTTTGCATTTCTCCCTCTCGTACTGTAGTGTTCTTTCTCTTCCTCTACTGTAGACGAGTAGTGTTTTCATTTCTCTCTCTCTTACTGTGTGTTTCATTTCTCTCTCTCTCTCTACACTGTGTTGTTCTTCTCCTTCTCACTGTAGTGTTTCCATTCTCTCTGTCTCTAACTGTGTTTTTAATTTCTCTCTCTCTCTCTCCTTCCCCCCCCTCGTACTACTGTGTTTTCATTTCTCCTCTCTACTAGGTTCATTCCCCTCTCATAGTTTCATCTCCTTACTGTGTTTTCATTTCTCCTCTCTACTGTTTTATTGTTCTCTCTACTTTGTCTTCCCTCTCTTACTGTAGTGTTTCATTTCTCTTCTCGGGTTCATTCTCCTCTACTGTGTGTTTCATTTCTCCCTCTCTACTGTAGTGTTCATTTGCTTCCCTCTCTACTGTTGTGTTTCATTTCTCCCTGCTCTACTGTAGTGTTTCATTTCCCGCTCTCTGCTAGGCTGTGTGTTTCATTTCTCCCTCTCTACTGTGTGTTTCATTTCTCCCTCTCTCCTGTGTGTTTTGTTTCTCTCTCTCTACTGTGTGTCTCATTTCTCCTTTTTTCTAACACCAACACTTCCACTGACACACCTCTTTCCTTCTCTACCATGTGTCTCATCTACTCCTCCCTCGCCTCCCTCTCTCTCTCTTCTCTTCCTCTCCATTCTCTGTCTAATCGCTTTCCCCTCTCTACTCTGTGTCTCAACTCTTCCCCTCTCTACTCTGTGCCTCATCTCTTCCCTTCTCTCTACTCTGTGTCTCAACTCTTCCCCTCTCTACTCTGTGCCTCATCTCTTCCCTTCTCTCTACTCTGTGTCTCAACTCTTCCCCTCTCTACTCTGTGCCTCATCTCTTCCCTTCTCTCTACTCTGTGTCTCAACTCTTCCCCTCTCTACTCTGTGCCTCATCTGTTACCCTCTCTCTACTCTGTCTCACCTCTTCCCCTCTTCCATCGTTAGTTCGTTACTTACTTGCTGCCGTGTAGGTGCATGCAGCGCACGGTCGATGTGTGGCCATACAGCGTGTGGATGCACTGACCAGTGTCCGCATTCCACACCTTCAGCGTCCGGTCGGTCGAGCCGCTGATGATGATGTTGCCGTACATCTGCGACGACCAGACGCCGCCCGTGTGACCGACGAGAGTCCTCAGACACTGCGTAGCCAATCAATCAATCAATCAATCAATACATCAATTAATCAATCAATCAATGATTCACAGTCACGATCAGTCACACAATCCAACCATTCCATTGGTCGATCAATCGACCAATCAAGCAATCAACCAAGCACACAAACAAACAGCCAATAAACTAATCGATTGATACACCAATACTGTGTATTAGTCAATCCATCCACTCATCAATCAATCAATCAATCTTATTCAAGCTTCTAATCCAATTTTATTGTTATACACAATGATTTATTTTCCTGGATATATTCAAGCCACCCTTAACGTGGAACATTATCACACCACACTCCCTACAATAAAAAAACTCATTCGATTTTCAGTCTCACTACACCTCCGGACACGCTTACGAAGGCGACCTCGACAGTAAGGTCCGCGATGCTTCTTTCTGCACGTACCTTTCCCGTCGTTGCCGACCACACCTTGAGTGTGTTGTCGTCGGAGCCGCTAACGACGCGGTTGCCGCAGAACTGCAGGCACGTGATTACGTGGTCGTCGTGTCCCTTCAGCATCTGCAACGACGCGAGGATCGGACCGTGAACGCGAGCGAGCGGAACCTACTACGATCTACGAAGAAGCAGGGAAAATGGGAGAGGTGCCACCTGTTGGGGGCACTTGCAGAGCGGCATGTTGCGCCGCCGACTCGTCGGATGGGCCCACCGGTCGTTTATACGTAGGAAAAAAGGGCGAGGAATGAGGGTAGGTTATATTCAGGAGTAAATAATGACGAATGATGACAAATGATGACAAATAATCACAAATTATTACACAAATAATCACAAATGATCGCAAATAATCACAAATGATCGCAAATAATCACAAATGATCACAAATGTGATGATTGACTCCTGGTTATATGTAGAATGAGCAACACGTTTAGCATAGCATTAGTTTGCTGTTACTGGGCATGCTCTCATTGAGCTGAACGCAAACGTTTACTCTGGCCACTGCCATTCTAAAATTCTTCTTTGCGATAACACAACATCTTTAAGCGATGGAAAGCCAGTTAAAAACCAACAACCGCTGTTTTGTCGGCCATAAAACAAATCTGGTGGAGCAGCTGTCGATATAATATCGATATAATGGGAATGACTGGCACGAGGTATGTACACGAAGGGAACGGCCATGTTACCTTGAAGGGTCGGATCGTTCCCACTCTCCAGTTCATCTCGATCTGATGCTGCCGCATGTATGCGCTCTTCCACTGGCTCTTGTGCGGCCCGGGCACCGGTCGCCGCTTCCTACACAAACACGCGCGCGCGAGAACGCAACACGATTAATCGTAAACTCGCGACAACGTTGTTCGAGGCACGTAAATACACGACGATAATAATTCGTTACGAAAAACTTACAAAATTTTTTTTTGCAACGTGTTCGATTACCGCACGGAAAATGTCTCATCTTTACCGGAAAGTTGAAAGTTGATCATTCTCAACATGGAACTCAATTATCTTCAGAAACGCAACTATGTTTGTTACGCTTGAAGTTCTCAGAACCCTATAGGTATATACATATATATATATATAAATATTGAAGGAAGATAACAAATAAAAATAAATAAATAAATAAAATTAAATAACGTTCGCAATGTCGACGTTCGCGAATCTGACGTCAGTAATTCCGGGCCTCCCCGCACTCAATCGTTGCGTCGCGCGCGGGAGCAACGGAGAGATGCTCACTTGTTTAGCACGACGGCCTCGTCTATGCTGGCCTCGCGGCACTTCTCCCGCCACAGCAGGTTGTCCTCGGCGAGGATGCGCCAGTAGCGGCAGGTCTGCGCGGCGCGCAGCAGGTCCCTCGGGTCGAGGAACGACAGCACGTAGAGCGCGAGCTGAAACACGCGCGACGCGAGAATTCACGTTAACACACGCACGCACGCGCTCTCTCATCACATCACAACGATTCACGTCACAGTCACGCTCACATCACGCTCACATTACATCACAACGATATTCACGTCACATCACACTCACATCACATCACGCTCACATTACATCACAACGATATTCACGTCACATCACACTCACATCACATCACGCTCACATTACATCACAACGATATTCACGTCACATCACGCTCACATCACATCACGACGTTTCACGTCACGCTCACATCACATCACAACGTTTCACGTCACGCTCACATTACATCACAACGTTTCACGTCACGCTCACATCACGCTCACATTACATCACAACGTTTCACGTCACGCTCACATTACATCACAACGTTTCACGTCACGCTCACATTACATCACAACGTTTCACGTCACGCTCACATCCCTCGTCTTCTCTCATCTCTTCTCCTCTACCATCTCTTCCTTTTCTCTTCTCTCTGTTCTCATCTCTTCTCATCTCTTTCTCTTTCTACTCTTTCGCTCTCTCTCATCTCTTCCTCTCTCTCCTGCCCTGCTTCTCGATCTCTTCCTCTTTACTCCTCTCGATCTCTACTCTCTCTGAACTTCTCTTCTCCATACTCGCCTTTCTAACTCTTTTCGCTCCTCTCTCATACTCTTCTCTCTCATACTCCTCTTCCCGGATCTCTTCCTCTCTCAGGTACTTCTCTCAGTTCTCTCTCTCTCTCATTCTTCCTCTCTACCCTCTACTCTCTGCTCACTCTTTCTCTCTCTCTCTCTCTCATTCTCTGCTCTCTCTCTTCTCTCTCTCTTGCTCATTCTCTCAATGTCTCCTACTTCACTTCGCTCTCACTTCATCAATCTTTCTTCTCTCTAGCTCACTACTTCCTCTCTCTTCTCTCTCTCTCTCAATCCTCTCTCTCATCTCTCTTCCTCTCTCCTCGTACTCTCTCCTCTACTCTCTTTCTCTCTTTCCGTCTCTCATCTTTCGCTCTCTTCTATACTCTCTGTCGTCATCTCTTCATTCTCCCCTACAACTCTACGTATCTCTCATCTCT